GAGATGCTATATTGCCACTAGCATTAAGTCCTCACAGTGTCATTCAGCAGAGCTCTTATGAGTGGTTTGGAGGCTTGTACAATCTGCCCCCCCACAAAATATTTTATTGAACCCTTGGAAACATGCTGTGATGAATTCGTGCAACACTTTGAGGATAAAGTTGCTTGGATTTTTTACGCAGTTATCCCAGTTGACAACAATACCCATCACACATGTGAAGCCAAAACAGAGGTACATGGAGGGATGGTGACTGGAGAGACCCAACTGCACCAGGGCCCAAAGATGCCTGAGGGACAGACACCCTGGTATTAGCTCCTCCTATGAAAGTTACAGCTAGTCTGGGTCTTGCAAATATGCCGCTGTCAAGAGGAATTCTTGTCACCTAGAAGCCACTCAGGCTTGCTCAAAACCCATGGGAAGCTGTTAGAAAAGCTAATTATTTATATTCTAATTATTCTGTGACAGCAATCCAGTGGCAAGCTGGGTACTTAGATCAAAGTAGTTCCTCTACAGCATATCTTCAGTATGAAATAGTCCTTTAATAATTTTTAATTCTTGGCAATGCCTATCCCTCTGTGGTTTGTGAATTTAAGGATTGCTGCCACAGAATAATCAGAAAAGCTAATAGCTTTTTGTGGCTCTTGAGCAAGCCTGATCAGCTCCTAGTGACAGGAATTCTTGACAATGCCTATCCCTCTGTGGTTTGTGAATTTACAATTCTTTAAGCTTATGTCAATGATTGCAAATGTTTGTGGAATCTAGTAGGCTGCTGTGATTCAGCACATGGGCACTGGGGTTTCCTACCCAGTGCATCAGCATTCACAGGTATAAATTAATCAGCAATGATCAATGGTGTAACTGGAAACTTTGAACTGTATGCGATAGTATTCATAGCAATATCACTAAGGAAAGTAAACAAAAAATGCATATTGACTAATAAGTTTCAACAGCTTTCCAGAAGGAGCAGGTCTTTTATTAAGTAAATAGTTTAAAATTGTCAATTCAAGGCCAAGCCCCACCTACTTGGCATTACAACCATGAGAGCCTAGCTTTCATAACAGTATATTCCCTTTCCTGCCATCCTCACAATTTACTGTAAGAAATGCAGGTAACCTCAAAGGAGCTGGGAATCTGGGGCAGTGGTGATAGATGACATAATCCCTGCTGATCAAAGAGCCTCAGGGCTTGGACTCTGCATGCCTACCTCCATAACAACATTGTCTATGAGCAATAAGAATTGCACGCTGACAGAAACATAGGTGAAGTCCTCTGACAGATTGACCTGTGGGCTGATGATAGCCCAAGATTAAGCCTTACCACAAGTTCATTATTGCCTCTCACTGACCAAGACCTTGTCTGGCTGCCTGCCTGCCTGCCTGCCACCCGCCTGCCTGTCTTTAGTAAAGAAAAAAGAATGAACAAATGTTCAGTTATTGCAGAGCAAGCCTTCAGAACCAAGGTGATGCCCAGAAGAGCTGATGAAGCAAAGAAGAGTGTGCTGCTCTTCTGATCAGAGTTTTATCAAAGCCATGATGGGCTCACTGCTCCGGCCCTAGCACTAGACTCACAGATACGACATATGGGCACATGCAACTGTGGTGACTGGTGCCACTGAAGCTGGAGGGGCAAAGGGTGGAGGGAGGAGCAGCTAATGGTAGGTGGATCTAGGGATCACTTTAGGTAGAGCCAAAGTTCAAAGTAGTTCATGAATACAAAGCAGAGGACTGGAGGGTCCAACTCACCTAACAATGCAAAGAACAGCCTGCCTCAGAGTCCATGTTTTCTCTCCAGCAGCCAGAAAGCCAGAGTAAGGCCTGCGTATAGTCCAAAATGTTGCACACAGAGTGATGTGTGCATGTTGAAATCTTCACAATGAGCCAAAAGAAAGCATTTGCACAGGAGAGTCTAGTTGTGCCCCATTCCTCTGATTCCTTGCCCAAGCGCTTCAACACACAGGCCTAGGTCACCTTTCCCCAAACTGGTACCCTCTAGAGGTGCTACACTATAATGCCCCTCACCAAAATCAAAGACTTTGGTAACATCTTAAAAACTCATAAATTACACACTGTACATGATAGCATGTCCTGGGAAGTGAAATATGCCTCAAACACACACACACACAGATGTGGATAAAATCCAATATACTTAAAGCAGACCTATTGAAATTAATGAAAGTTAAGTAAGTTATGACTATCCAATACGATTCATTTCAAGAGGTCTGCTCTAAGTAGGACCTATACTGAATTTTATTATACATGCATATATGCAGTCACACTTTTTTGAGGAAAAGGGGAAGCTAAAATGCTCACTCTCTTTTTGTACAAGGACTTAACAACAAATTAGACCAGCTGGATGTGGTTTCTGATTCTCCCCAGAAAAGTGGGGCCACATGGCAGTTGTAGTCAGGGGGAAAGCAAAACCTATTGTGGCATCTTAAGGAGAGCTAGGCAGCAATCCTATGTGCACTTACCTGGAAGTATATTCCACTGAGCTTATTTGGACTTACCTCTGAATAGACATGCACAAAATTGTGCATTTAACAGAATTAATGTAACGTACAGTAATATCAATTGGACCAGGAATTGCAGATATATAATCATAGCCCCATGATTTTGAGGGAGAGTTTTTTAAAGCTCTGTTTTACCTTTTTCTTTTGCATGGCCCCTCATTATAATCCTCAATATAATAATTTGGGTTGGGTTGTGCAGTAAGCCACAGAGGGTTGGTTGCTGTGAACAACCCATAGTGTGCCCAACAGATGATAGGGTTCACCATGGGGTGTTTGCCTCTCCGCTCTTTCCACATTAGTCTTCCCATAGGTACCCAAGAGAACTCCATAGCAGAGCCAACTTGTTTACCCCACCACGACAGCTGTGGACCCTTTTGTGATTCAACATAGTCTTTTTGCAGCCTCTTTTACCCTTTCCCCCTAGAAGCTGTGAAAAGCAGCCTCTTATTTGAAAGCAGTGGCTGATGGTTCCAATGCCAGTGAGAGAGTATCCATTCTGGAGTCCAGACTGAGCTGGGAACAAGCTGCCCATGGTATTGAAACTATTTTGAAGATTGCTGCTTGAGTACAGGCCAAGTGGATACACCACTCCACTGATACTGGAGTCACTAGCCCCTCCATTGCAAGTGGCAGCCCAGAGTGCCCAAGCTGAACATTGCAGGGGCTGTTGCTGGTTTGTCACCCCCACCTTCTGCATCCCTAATATGTGCTATTTATCTATTTATTTTCTTAGATTTAGTTGCACTGGAGCAAGTCTGCACTTGTGCACTTTTGTGGGTCTGAAATGGTGTGTCCTCCTGGGTGAAGTCCAGGGGGTGCCTCCTGCCAAAGTACAATGAGGCTGCATAGAACTTCTACTTTGGTTCCTCTTAAAAGCTGTTGAAAGGCCAACTGCCTAGGGACACCTAAGCCCTTTACTCACTGAAAGGAAGTGGCTAGTCAATCACCACTTCTTTGAACAAAGTTCAATGTTTTTTTCATAACGGGTGCTTGGGCACCTTCATTCATGCTTTGTTCCACTGTACACTGAGACACAGATGCATTTTTCACACACACACACACTTTCATATGATTGCTAGGGACAATCACTTGAAAAACCAGTAAATTACAATTTTGAAATTGTTTTGTTTGCCTAATACTGCATTTGCAATTGGTATTTGTTCATTGTTAGTAATGAATCTATTAAACTGAAATTTTCTACAGCAGCAGTAAGCAAGAATTATTCTGCTCCACCTGACAGAATGGCACCTGACAAGCCATGAAAAGGTAGGCAGTAGTGCTCATCCTTCTCACCACCACTGCTGTCCGGACCACAGCAAAATGCAGCAGAAGCAGTCTTATTACAATGGCAATAAGACCCCTACTGGGAGTGGGCCTTTCACAGGTGTTGCTGGGTTGTTATAAGGATCACACTATGGTAACACATGGAAGACTTGAAAGTGCTGTACCAGTCTTCCCTAACCTGTTGCCACCCAGATGCTTTGGGCTATGCTTTTCTTCATCAGTAGTCAGACAGCCAATGGAAAGTCTGTGCCACAGAGATGTTAAATATTGATATGCTTTTTAAATCACAATCACATTCTTTCATAGATCACTGTTCCCTGATTGTATATATATACACACATATAGGAGCCTGGAAAAGCTCATTGATTTGGTGCCTATAACAGTGGAGGCTCTGAAATGCAACTGTGGCTTCCCTCTGCAATTTGAAAGTCACTGGCCTTGCTGCCACCTGAAGGGAATGTGCCCCACAAGAAATTCTCCCCCTGCTTCCAGGATTGTAACCCTTGATCAAAAAAATTACTTGTACCTATATACACATTCCACAGAGAGGCAGAAAGGGATTTTCAGACAAGGTACAATTGTGAAGATGCCCTGTGAAATACTTAGCCTCTGTATCTTCCCTTTTGGGGGTAATTTTCTTTCTTTAGATCTTTCTGTTTAGTACTCTTAGGTCACAAGGAAGAATTGCTATTACTAGGAAACTCACTAGTTGACACAACACTGTCTTATGACATGTAACTGTATCAAAGAGTGGTTGACAGTAATACCCTCTAAGTTTTGTGCCTTGCCTATTTATTGAGAATATTCATTCCAGTTTACTTAAGAGGTGGCATTATCTGCATTTTCAAGTATATGTTCTTATTTTAAAAAATCTTTGACAATTTGAAACCTTTCTCCAAATGTGCCTCCAGAATGCTAACCATATTTTTGGATATTACTCTGTAAAAAACATTCCTCCTTGTTTCAGTTCTGTGTACTAGTTTCCTAATTAACCAGCAGGTACGGAGTCTAGTACACAGGCAGCACCACATCAGTTTCATAAAATGTGAAGTAACTCTTTGATACCCACACCATCCTGAGCTCAACTAGCCCCCCTTTTTAATATGTCAAACATTATTTACACCATTTTAAAATTTAAATCCTCTCTAAAGTTTTAGTGAAACAAACTCCTTATGTTGTAGGGACCAAAGGGTTCATCATAGCACAATATTTTTAAAAGTTTTATTTAGAGTTGACAGAGTACACCATTCCTCTCAACACATTCTATATCCTTTTAGAAGTATTAAGAAAATGCATCTGCAACATACATCAAGATACTGGAATTTGTCCTGAATTTTCTCTTCTTAGGCAATTTATTTGTACTTTATCCTGCCAAAAGGTATATATAGTTTAGAAACTGAAGTTTTCTTGTATCCTTAGTTCTAACATTTAACTGTTTCAAGGGAACAATCTTATGCAAGTTTAGATTGGAAGATTGGAAGTTTAGATTAGGTTGGATTGGCCATGCCAACTTCAAACATATCTATGTGGGAAATTGATGGACTTTTTTTTGGACTAAACCTGCACTGGATTGAGGCCTAAGACAGTGACAACCAAAATGCGTTTCTTTCACAGATCATTCTGTGTGTCAACAGTTTAAAGTGCTTGTAGCAACTGTATTCCATTAAATATGACTTTTTTACAGCATCTCTGCATTTGAACATTAATTTATTGGATTCATACAGCTAAACCAAGTCTCTTACAACACACCTTAATTTATGAGAAAGGCATAGCCTCTTCAAAAGTTCCTCTTAGCCTACTAGCACTTTGTGAAAACACAGTTTGTAAAACACCTCTGTTAGATCAAGCTTGGACAAAAAAGCAAAAATAAACATTTAATGGTCATTTTTTACATCATCAAATTTTGACATTTTAGGAAAGAATGTTGTATATTAATGTTCAGTGTTAGCTATTTATGCTCTCATCTGTAAATCTTATTCCAGAAGATCAGGCAATAAAGATCTGACTGGGTATATAATAAGTAAGACAATATACAGGCTGCTGTGCTGGAAAGACAGTGGTCACCAGATTCATTCACATTTCCTTACAAGGAATGGAAAAGAGGAGTGACACTAAAAGGTAAGCACTTTTTTATATTTGAAATTTGAAAACAAAGGTCATGATTGGTAAAATTATACACAAATATCAGTAAGACATATCTTGGGATATGACCAATACATTATTTAGCACACATTTACTTAAAATAAAATTTATTATATTTCAATAGAACTTACTTTCAAGTACTCTTAGGGCAACAGTTCATACTAGTTGCCCAACACATCTATAATCCATTATAACATTTTGCTGCAGTCTCACACTGTTTTACTCTTACTGATTTATTGAATAGTAAAGTCTTTAGCCAAAGTCTTCTTTAGGAGATCATTCTTTTAGACACCTGAGACTGCAAATCAGGTATATCTGGTTTTGCTCTCATACAACTTTCTTCAGATAGTCATGACAAAATCAGTGTCATACTTGTAAACCAAGAAAAGTCTGGGGGCGGGGAATAAGAGTAACATAGGTTTTACATTCATGTGCTTTACAAGATATCAGGGTGTTAATCTTTGTTAGGGCAATTACATGGGAAAACCCTTCTGCAGAAATGTCAAAGTTCATTGGTTTCTGAAAGCATTCAAATACAGACAAAATTATGATAATTTCAAGCCACACTGAGGAACTAGGTCCCCCTAAAGAGTGAAGATCTTAAAAACAGGAGCACAGCTTACTCTTGCACAGCTAACATTCATTCCAGATGGAGTTTATGCTGAAGAAATTGCCAGTAAGATTGGGTCTAAGATCTATCAATAACAGTCTGAAAATCATATCCTCCACACAGATTTATAAAATATTTTTCTAATACTTTATTTACATTTCAGTGGTTTTGAAGCCCTCATAGGCTTTCATGTTTCTTTTTTCCTTCGATCAAGTTTTGTGCAAAGGACATGGGGGACATACAGTTCTATTTACAAAGGAACATTCTAGGTGGCACAACGAAAAAACATTACTGCAGATTCTAAACTCTCAGATTTCACTTGCTTACCTATCTTCTGAATATGCACCTTTCAAGTGGCCACATCCATTTATGTTTAAGAAACATTCTGAAGCAGTGTAGAGTAAAGAATTTTAGTGAACTGCAATACAGCTACGTGCAATGTATACTGTACAACTACAGCCCCAAACCCTTTGTAAAACCCCAATACTCCTTCTTCACGCTTTATGGCATTGATACAGTCTCTCATTCCTTCATATTGAGTATTGATAGGGAGAACTTCATACCCAAGGTCTGTATTGTCAATGATGGTGCGGGTCCCCTGAATATGAAGACGGTGCAGAACTGTCTCCAGAGGATAGAGCATGACATCTGCACAAAGGCTGGCAGCAAAGCTAGCAATAAGTTCTGGAAAATAAGCATCCAACATGCTCTGCACAGAGCTGGAGTTCTCTGTTGCCAGGCTGGAGGAATTCTCTTTCTTAAGGAGGAGGAGGACTAACTTCTGTACAGAGGAACTGATTATATAGTGAAGAATTCCATGCAGAGCAGTTGGAAAGGTCAGTGCCAGGAGAGGAAGTAACCGCTTACTATGGGGCACTCCAAAGCCCATTGCTCTGCCTATGCCTTCTTTCAGGCAATCTAGAATTCCAGGATTATCCCGAATTATTTCGCTCTGTAAGAAAACACAGTATTTACAATGAGGAGGTATATCAATTTTGTGATTTTTGCCACAAATGTTAGTCTACTTCTTTAAACTAAACAAAAATAATCAGCTTTATTATGATGGGATGATAATACAGGTGAAAAGAAAACCTTTCGAATCAATAAGTGTACCATTAGGTGGGGAGAGGGAGAGGACTCCCCTTTCCAAAATCAGGGACTACATCTTGGAAAGTTCCTGTCTCTTCCTAAGATTTTCCTCTTACTGAACATAGCATGAAGGTAGTTATGTACGTGAAACATGGATAGCAAAAAGGCTGATGTGGGGAGAACATTCACACAAGGAATGCAGAAATGGACATATAGATCCAATATGTTGCATCTGGCAGCCTGGGGTTTCTGGTGCTTGGGCAGATGGGAAGTATCAGAGACCATCAGGAACTGAACTTTTTTGGAATTCTTCACCACCTTGATAACTTTATACTATTTTTCACACACCACTTATGACTAATGATTAATGCTATTAATGCTATTCTGTTTCATATATTCTATTTATACAGACTAAATTATGGTTGTATCATATATATTGTTTACATTAATAGTCAGTGTGATAATGGTATATGTTGTTCTATGACATGTAACTGGAATAAGCACAGTAGTTAGGATAACATAATTAAAAAACCTTTCATGGCTGACAATGTCCATAACTCAATCATGGAATATTTGTGATGGCCTGTTAAATTGGCTACAACCATCTTAGTTTGGTAGGTGGGTGGTAAGGTCACTTGGTCAGCTCTTTGTGGAACTGGAGAGATTGGGACAGATCCATATGAGGAGCAAGTGGGATCCCCTTAAGGTATTTTGGGAGCAGTGCATTAAGGTCCAGCCTGGCTCAGGAACTGAGACACCTTCCATGTGGCCAGATTTACAGGGGTGGCACATGGTTTTGGGTGGCACTGTAGTGAGCCTAAACTTGTCTACCATCCCTTAGCATTTTCTTTGGCATGACCAGGCTGTCATACCACACTAACTAGTGGTGAGCTGTACAAACCCAGCTGTGTGAACAAACCATTTATTAACCACAAAAAAACCAGAAAGCCACGATTGGGTGGGTGGCTTGTTTAAATGGTTGTCATTTTGTCAGAATGCAGAACTGTGGGTTGTTCATGAATTGCTTTGCTAGGTTACAGAGGTGGCAAGCATGACTAGTAAACTGCCCTCCCCTGCTCCCCATGTCAGTACTTTCGGGCACAGGGACAAAGTGTGTGAAGTAGGGAAACAAACAACTCAGGGACTGAAGACACAAGCCATGGTTTGATCAATCATCTGCCAGACTAAGGGCCAGTTCAAGTAACAGCCCATCATAGATCAATGAACCTTTGGGAGGCCATGGCATGTATCAACTGCCATTATGACTATGTAACTGCAAGCTAGGATTGCTATGGTTTGTAGTGCCATCTGAACCTGGCCAGGGAGGGTTATTCACAGATTAAACAAGCCTCACATAATCCTAAAACAGATTATGGTTTATGTATGGGAAGCTAAACGCTTGAACTCTTGCCCGGATCAGACAACACACAAGCTACAGCAGCTGCCAGCTGGGTTTGCATAGTCATAACAGCAAATAGCTCCTCAAGGGTGAATTAATCTACAGAGGAATGTTGTATCATCTGAACCAAGTCAAATTGCATTGCAAGGCAACAAACCATGAATTAAATAAGCTGTGGGTTAGCATGATATATGAACTAGATATCAGTATAATACAACTAAAAAAAAGTTATATAAACTATTTCCTGTGTTGATGTGATGGTTCTTCTCCCATTCTATCCCAAAATCAGTGAACAAACTGCAGTTGTCATTTCCGGGGAATGATGACTTGAAGAGGCAGCATTTTTTTCACAGCTCCATAGCTTATTTCATTTAGAAATTTATAAGTTGTCTTTCAGAGGGTCTTTACCTCTCAAAATGACAGGTCGGCTTGAAGACTTTCAGTCTATAGCTCTGATTACAGCAAGATGAGCAGGTAAGGTAAACTAGAACAAGTTATAGAGTCAACTCCCAATATATAGATTCTTTCTTTTTTCCTTTCTCTTTCTCTTCTTTTTGTCTTTTTTGTATTGTTTCTTTTTACTTTATTTTACTATTTTTTTTGCCAAGGAATACTCTAAAATCCCTTGGCAACTTTATTCTATTTTGCCTTATTTTACATGTGCTTTTCTTCTTTCTGTACTCGTTTATGTTAAGAAAATAAAAATTAATTTAAAACAATCTGCAGTTGTTATATACAATACACACAAGATGAAATTAAACATCTTTTATCTATATTCTGCGCCCACAAGAAATATATCATATGCACATACACAAATTCTGATTACATGTTGAAGTGGAAAGCCATACATTAACGCCAAGACTATACATAGAACCCAATGCGTCACACTAGATCCCAGTTGCTTTGGATTGCAGGAAAAAATTCTGATTGGATATTTTATGGGAAACCCTAGAATATTTGTCATTAAGTTAAAAATAGTTTTCAATCACATTTCTTTTAAATGACAAAGGAAAACTGTGGATGGAAATTATTCTTCCCCAAGCTGACATTTTGCCTCAAATATCTTCTTAGAAATTGTTTCCACAGTTCCATTTACACAGTGGCATGACAATAAATCCTTGAAAAAGAGTGAGGGTTTCCTGAAATAGTTTTGGAATAGTACTGATAAGAGGATACTGATGACATTTCAGGAATATGTATGAAGCCTAGTGTATTCCAACTTGTATGTATATAATGTATAATAGTTACTGGTAAAACAAGAGACAAGTAAATTGATTGGATTAATTTGGGGCTATGTTTGCCTGAAACTGTTGTTTCTAAGACTGGTTACATTTGGAACTTTTAATTTTACTCATTAGGTAATTTTATATGGATTTAATTGTAAATCTACATACTGTTTGCCACATTCAAAGAACCTATTAGAATAAACTCATTTAAACAGCTGAATTGCATTAAATTTCAGCTTGTACTTTTCAGGATGATTACTGTGGTCCAGAGTGTCAGACAAGAGCTTTTGGAGGCATTTTCCCACCACTCTCAATACTTATTTTTAAATAAACTATACAGCATATTCAAACTGCAACTTTCAGGGAACCATAAGATTTCTAATATCTGGATCCCACTGCATGACAAGGACACCACTATGACACCAATGTAATAAAAATTTTAACACAACTACTGTTCAAACCATCCTAAAAACAAATACAACTAGGACAGCAATTAGGCCCATTCTGACAATATATGATTCAAGGTATTAAATGAGCTGTCCTTTCCTCCCAAGAATAAGACCTTGAGTTTTGTCAGGAGGCGCAAGAAGTGGTTTTATTGGTGCAGCCAAGCAGGTCTGACCCTGTATGCTTCCTAGACTGAAGATCACTTGTGAAACATGTATGTAAGAAAGAAGGGGAACAGTGGAGTTTTAGTTTAAAAAATATAACAGCTATTAATAATGTTTGTATGTGAAAATCTATCAGTTTAAAAACCAATAGGATGTTGGGGACAAGTGAGAGAGAGCAGGTGCACCGCCTGCGGCACTTCTGCCTCTTCTGCTTATTACTAAACAACACATAATCATTTTCTGCAAAACTCAGGCTGCTAGGCAATATAGAGGCTAAAGAATCCAGCACTTAACCCAAAAACAAATGATAGGTAAAAGCAGATGACGTGGGCATGCTGCAGGCTGTGCATTGCTTGATTTCCCATTCATGCATGGCAATCCATTATTATATAATCTGATGGGCTGTCATTATGTGTGAAGCAAGTCACTGACATAACCAGTGTAAGTTAATATAAATTCATAAAGCCCAATACAATGGTTTCAACTGCCAGAAAACAAATGTTTGAATAAAAAACATAGTAAATTGTTCTGTTATGGGCAATTACATACTGGGAAACAAAACTCTCCCTATGCAAGCTGCTCAAATACTTCTCACCCATCATTGTGCCCATCAAACAGTTTGGATAGGAAGAGCCCAGTCCTCAAGGGAAAAAATATGGCAGATGTTTCTCCTAGAGAGAAATGACCATCTAAGAGACTTCTTGGGCTATCTCTTCATTTCTTATTGGAAGGCACACCTGCCAGGTAATAAGCAGATTCTTCCAACATGGAGTGAAGGAACAGAAGGTACTGGCTGCTAGATGACCAACCTTATCACAAAACAAAGATCCAAATCCCATGGTCAAGATCTCAAAAAATGTCCCACTAGCTCCATGCATATAAAGTAGGGTATGTTTTAAACTAACAGGATTTTCAAAGGTAATTTTCCATATGGCATTGGGAATAGCAAGACAGGCAGAGTCCAAAGCTCCATGGAACAAGTTGCACAGTTCTTGAGAACCTGGCCTCTATTTCTAACAATAAACTTTTCTCATAATATTAAGAGTTACATCGCAGCACTGAGAACTATTTTTTCATTTCTATTTTATTTTTTATTCCTCACTAAAGATAAATCCAATTAGAAACCAACAAACATCCATAAAGGGCTGAATTAATTCGGTTCAAAATTCTAAGAATACTTATCTGCAGCACATACAAGCCACTCACTATCCTGGTTCAGATAGTCATTGTGCCCATAGCTTGTTTCAGCAGGCTGCAACTTGTCATGTCCCAAGCAGTACGACTTGTTTCAGGGGAAGCAACTCACATGTAACATAACAAGAGTTACAGGCTCAACACAAGTTAAGCTTTCTGAGGTTTGGATGGCATGACAAGTTTATGTAAATCACAACATAAACCATGACTTGAACAAACTTGTGTAGATTATGTTGAGCTTGTGGACTGGTCCTATATCTAAAAAAAGATATCTAAACAGTGAACAGTAAAAAAACAGTAAAACATAAAGAACATGTTTCAAATTGTTTTATACCAATAACACTATGATTGGTCAGCCAGACACAGCTTCTTTAAATATAAAAATCTTTAGCAGAAGCCAAAAAGGAAAAGGAAAAAAAAACAGTATTAGTCCCCACCTAACATCAACCAGTGGGGAATTCCATGGAAAATGAGCCAGTACTTCTACTCCAAACAGAGCTCAGGCTCATGCAGAACCAACAGGAATATTACATCTGATGACCTCAGTGTCCGGGCAGATTGATAAGTGAGAATGTGCACTCACAAATATCCTGGTCCCAAACAGTAATTCTGACACTGATCTAGGACTTGCACAGCTTCACTTGATTCAGATGTCATAGACAGATAGAGCTGGGTGTCATCACCATATTGATGGCACTTCACTCCAAATCCCCTAATGAATGGAAATAAAGCTTCATATAGTTGGCAACCAATACTGGGGATAGATTAATTTGTACGGCCCCATAGCTCAATTGTCAAGGAATTCAGAAATAGTGTTATTCTTTGAAACTGACTCTGCAGGTAGGACTGGAACCACAGTAACACCATGGCTGGGTTCACATATGATGGCATGCAACCCTGGGTAGTTTCCATGGCTTGTGTTTTTTGCCTTGACCTACTGCTCAGACAGTCACTTAGTTTCTGTGTAAACACAGCTTCCATATTCCCTGTTTTCTCTGCCTGTTCTCACCATGCATCCCAGTAGCTCATCCATGCAAAATCCCCTTATTATATTGTTCCCTATCAACATCAGCTATCTCTTCCTGATTGGGAGGTTATCCCTCTTTTCTCTCCTGATTATACCTCCAGTTGCCTAGCCAATCCAGCCCTCAATTTTTTAAATATTAAAATAAACACTCCTGCAATTCCCTTGTTCTTTCTTCTTGCATTTACCTGCTTTCTCCCTGTTGCAGAAAGTAAACAGGTTGATGGCATAACTCTCAGCCAATAGAAACAAAGTAATGTTGATGTGTGTGTTGTTAGGAAGTTGTAGGTGGTAGAAATTGTATTCTAGAGCAGCCATTTAGTTGCCACTCTTTAGAATACTATACGTTTTTTTCCCCATCACAAATGGAAAATGGAATTTCCGAGTCCAGATATCATGAGAAGCTGCAGTGCAGTGTAGAAATTAAACACTTTTCATGGTTTTCAGAAAGCAAACATACAACACTGAAATTTTGCAGCTGGGTTTGGAGAACACAAAAGATCAACAAGAGTTTAAAAAAACACCATAGCTTCTTGTGATGTGCAAACCCACCTACAGTGACTCCAATGTCCGAGTAGATACTAAGGACAATAATATTAAGAGCTGATGAGAGATGAAGCAGAATGAAGCATTGTCCTTAATACTCTGCCATGTTGCAGTCCTTTGATAGAGGTCATCTATCAGGGTGTCCATGTTTGATACAATCCTGTAACCAGGATAGGACCAAAACTGAAATAATTTAGATAACTGGTATCCACCAAGAATACTTGTAGTTTTTCAAGCATGACCCTCTCATGCACAATTGCTAAGAAAGAGTTATTAACAACCAGGTAGTTATTGGCATCACTGAACCTAGAGTGAGTCTATTCTGGGATGGCGCATCACTCCCCCCTGAAGCATCAGTCATCACCTGTTCAGGTACAGACACATTTATCACACAAATAAAAACATAGAAACAGAGTGAGTCAGAAGGGGCCTCTCGGGCCATCTAGTCCGATCTCCAGCTCCAGCCGGCTCTGCCCACGACATGCCCACCATGTGCATGTCTAGCCTATCTTTGAACATCCTCACCAATGGGGCCTCAACCACCTCCCGTGAAAGCCCATCCCATACCCTTGGGGTCCTAACTGTCAGGAAGTGCTTCCTGGCATCTAAATGGAACCTTGGTTCCCTGAGCTTTCGTTCCATTGGAGCACATCCTGCCTTCTTCTGCAGGGGAGAACAGGTCTCTACCCACCTCCGTGTGACACCCCCTCACATACCTATCTGAGTCTCCTCTTCTCCAGGCTGAAGAGATCCAGTTCCCTCAGTCTTGTCTCATATGGCATCCCCTGCAATCCTGCCACAATCCTTGTGGCCCTACGCTGCACTGACTCTAACCTGGCTATATCCTTCCTGTAATGAGGGGCCCAAAACTGAGCACAATACTGCAGTTGCGGGCACACCAGAGTTTCATAGAGTGGTAGTAATACCTCTCTTGATCTTGAAGCCATACTTCTGGCTATGCAACCAAGGATGGCATTCGCCCTCTTAACCACTGCATCGCATTGCTGACTCATGTTTAGCCTGCAGTCAACCAGCACCCCGAGGTCCCTTTCACAAGTGCTGCTCTCCAGGTACTGGTCCCCTAACCTGTGCATATGACACCCATTCCAATGCCCCAAGTGCAAGATCTTGCACTTATCCACATTGAATGCCATCCTGTTGTCTCCTGCCCACTTCCATAGTCTGTCCAGATCCTTTTGGATCTGGATTACCTGCTCCTCAGTTGTGGCCACTGCCCCAGTTTTAGTATAGTCTGCAAATTTGATCAGCAGACTGTTCACCCCTTCTTCCATGTAATTGATGAAAAGATTAAACAGGATTGGCCCCAGGACAGAGCCCTGGGGGACCCCGTTTGACACTGGCTGCCATCCCGATGATTCCCCACTAATGGTTACCCTCTGCTTTCAGTCAATCAACCATGCCCTAATCCATCGGACAGTGCTTCGGTCTATCCTAAAACTCCTCAAATTCTCAACCAGGATATCATGTGGCACTTTGTCAAAGGCCTTGCTGAAATTCAGGTAAACCACATCCACTGCATCCCCTCCATTTGGCTACCTCAAAACCTTGTTGTAGAATTCCACAAGGTTTGTTTGGCAGGACCTGTTTTTGCAGAAACCGTGTTGTGTGGCTGCCAGCCTCCTTCCCTATCTAGCATCACTAGATCTCTGGCTATTATGAACCTTTCCATTGTTTTTCCTACAATGCACATAAGGCTAACTAGTCTGTAATTCCCCCTGTCCCTTCTACTATCCTTTTTGAAAATTGGGACCCCTGACGCCACCCTCCAGTCCTCTGGAACTTCACCCATTCTCCATGAGGCCTCAAAAATGGAGGCCAGTGGTGTGAGAGAACTCCTGCCAACTCTCTAAGTACTCCTGGGTATAACCTATCAGGGCCTGGTGCCTTTGTAACGTCCAATGCCCTGAGAAGCCCCTTGACTTCTGGGGGGTGGGTGTGACTCTAATCTGTGTCCCTAAGTTCCCGGACTCATCTAATCTCCTATGCAGATCTCCCCCGTCCTGCTTTGGGGAGAACACAGAGACAAAATAGTCATTTAGCATCTGTGCCTGTTCCCTTGTATCAGTCACTAGATCTCCTTCCTCCTTATTTAGTGGTCCCACTACTTGTCTCCCCTTCCTCTTCCTATTTACATGCTGATAGAACTCTGTACTCACCTAGTCATACCACCTTCCACCCTCACCTACTAGCTTTTACTAGTCAAGAGGGACAAGGATCACGAGGACACACGGTTAGCTGCACTGCTAGCACTAGTCCACATCACCAGGCCAAAAGTACAAAACATGCACAGCAGAAGGTTTCATACAATATTTCAGAAGAATGAAGTTAGAATAATTTACTCCAGGAATTCTGCTATAAAATAGCTGCTTAATGGAATATAAATGTGAATCAAGACATTTCTATACTGCTTATTTTTGTCATGCAACTACTATATTTCAAACCAAAGTGAAGCGATGAGTGCACCACCAAGTGGTCTGGAACCATACTAACAGAAAGCCTGTAAAACAGGAATTTACCAATTCATCAACCACACAAGCCCAATAACTCTCAAAGGAAATTAGTCCAGGGTATTAAAGATGCTTTTCTGTAAATTCACATACCACTCACATTTTTTTGGATGAAAGAGAAGTTTTTTTTTTAATAAGTTAATCAAATCTTAAGAGGCAGGAATTATTTGCTATAGGAAATAGTATTTGAAACGGCCTGCAATCAAAAACCTGACCTTGCTATGTAGGTAATAGTTTAAGAAGTGGCATCTCTCTTGCTCCAGGAATAATACAAACAAAGACAAAATATCAACAATCAGATCAGGTGATGCTAGGATACTTGCAGTTCTGATTCTCCAAGTCATAGCATGCCCAATAGCATGAAAAAAACACTTTACACTTACTTGTACAGTTTCAATCAGGCTTGCTGAATAAAAAGGCATAGCTACCACACAAGTCAACCTAAGAGGAATAAGTACAGTTAATATTTTTGCTAATGACATCTGTCATTTGCCAGAGTTATAAAGAGTGATTACTGATCCATTTATGTCAAGACATTTCAATATAAACCAGCTTAGCCCCACTTAGATAAAATTGGCTTAAAGCTCAATTATACGGATTAGGCTTGGAATGGTGCTTTCTTGGTACGTCACTGTTAAGACCCTCCTAATAATAAAATTATCCCTCCACACCCAAGATTAACTGAGTACTTACAGATCCCTATGGTCATATTTCTCAGTACGCATATTAAGCAGATGAAAATACTTTGTATTTTATATTTCTTCATACCCATTGGCTGTGTTTAATGTTTCAGTGACTATCCCTCTAAATCATTTGTTAGCAGAAATCCTTCAGTAATTACAGCTCTACTCCAAAGGCCCTAACCATTTCCATTAATGCGGCAGCACATAACTGCAAACAACCTATTCAAGCGTATCCCCAGAGAAAGATGGAGATACATAATACATTAGAATACACAAAGATAAGGTGATCTGAAAGTCCAACTCAGACTGAAACTGGTATAATGCAGGTTGTTTTCCGTTTAACTTCTATTTTGCTGACTGAACTGCTAGTTGTTATTTTCAAAACATGTAATAATAAACATCCTTCAGAAATAAAAATAGTTTATTACATTGATATGCTGCTTTTCCTCTGAGGAGCCCAAGGCAGTGTAAATGATCCTCTAAGCTTCATGGCAGAAAGGAGTTGGAGCCCAAGTCTCCCCAGTCTAACCACTACACCACACTGGCTCAGTTATTTGCTAACTGTACCTACCCTTTCAGCATTAGATGTCCTCCTATTTGCTTGGGACTCCATTTATATGAAAGCTCTCTGAAAAAAGTAAAGCAATAATTGTCCATCAATGGTCACGAAGAGACAGTCCAAGTATGAGCAGAAGACATTAATTTACACTTACACTTAATGAACTTATGTACAAATAACCTAAAACAGACTTGCAGAGGCACCAGTGCCTAGGAAGCTCTGTAAACAGGGCCACCCCATAAAACCCATGCTGGAAAAGCATTGCAATGGGAATGCCATTCCATGTGCAAACATTTCCCAGTAAAGAAGTGAACGGAAGATCCTGCTTATGCAGCTTTTTAGGTACACCCTGAAATTATACAGAACTTTAGAACTTTTGTTAAATATAAAGTTCATTATATAGTATAATGAAGACTAAGTTCACCCAAACTGACCACTACTTAATTCTTAAAGGTTTTTGAATGCCAAAGGCTTTAGTCCAGATTTTATAGATTAAAACATGATATAGCTTAAATATAGTTTTTTTTTTTTTTTAAATCTTGTTCAGTGGTGCCATTACCTGCTCTGGCCACCTGAAGAGGTAATGTTCTGAAACTTTCCAGGCGATCCCTCACTGTATTTTACCACCAGGAATTTAGTGCAGGTTAGCAAATTTCTAGTAATTATTTTTAAGCATCTATTATACTTTCCCTTTTAATTTTCTATTTCTTTAACAAACATTTTCATTCAGTTTTGACCATAGGCTAGAGGTTAGGTTTCCAACAATCCCCTGGAAGTTACAACAAGCCTTCTCAAATGCCATCTTCTTATAAGAGCAGGTTTATGGCAAACACAGCTCAGAGGTTCTCAGCTATTTTACTCCATTACTAGTCATAATATTCACTCCTTTACTATTTTTAAACCACTATTTTCAATATCATCTTCTGCAATTCTACAAGGAAAATTCTAATTTCTAATTATTCTAGTAGTACTCCTAGGTATAAGCTGTAATCACCTGTAGCCATATAGATCTACCATAACAGGATTAATCCAGGCTAACTCTGAACTGCACATTTTCCTTGGAAAAAAGAAGTCTTCAACCAGAATTACAACCTGAAATAGCTCAACAAAGCATTAAGCAGCTTTTTCCACAGGGCTCATCCTAATGTTGCAGCAATTACTCGGTTGAAACTGTTACGTGTTTTTGCTACCTTATAGCAATCCTATGAATGAAAATCCTGCAGAATGTTCTGCCCTTGACAGCCCTGCTCAGCTTCCCTTATGGAGTCAATACATCTCATATTTGGTCTTTCTTTTCTTTCTCTGCCTTTGACTTTCCCTGGTACGATTGCCTTCCTCAGTGACTCTTGCCTTCACATTATATGCATGAAGGCAAGAATATGATAGTTTCAGTTTTGTCATTTTTTTCCTAGGGAAAGTTCTGGTTTGAGTTGATCTAGGGCCCACTTGTTCATTTCTGCCAGTCCAAGGTATTCACAAAGCTCTCTCTAGCACCATGTTTCAAATGCATCTATTCATTTCCTGTCAGCTTTCTTCACTATCCAGGTTTAATACACATACATGGTGATTGGAAATACATAGTGTCGTTATTACACATGATTATCTTTTCTAATTCCTTTGTTGTCTCCCTTCTAAGTCTGTCTTCTAATTTCTCAGCTGCAGCTTCCATTTGAATTGATGACTAACCAAGTCATGTAAAATCTTTCACAATTTCCATTTATTTAGTGTTGAGAGTGAATTATGTAATTCTTCTTCAGCCATAGTTTATGTTTTCTTAATATTCAACTGCAGTCTTGCTTTCTAACATAGATCAGAACTAAGCTTACTGCTAGGTGGTATTTTTCCCCAGTGTGTTGCAGAATCATCTGGTCTTATTCAACATATTCCTTGTCTGGCATCTTATACCTTGCTCCTCTCTACTTTGTGGCACATTATATTTTGGTTTGATTGTAGATATTATATTGGCATTTTGTATATGATGGGATGTTGGGTGTGACAGATATTGCTTAGTCCTACAATTCTGTATGACTTAAATTTTGACATATCAAGAAGCACATTATTCTGCCATATAGAGAGAATATTTTTTCCAGTTTAAATCTCCATTTGTAAGATTCAAGAATAATATTCATGGCCCTTCCACTTCCCCCACAAAAGTAGTGATGAGCAGGTACAGGACTAAAATCTGGAAGTGATCACCTTCGAAAAATATTTACAGGGGAGGTGAAATTGATCGAGATTAAAGTGCAGCAGCAAGCAATTAGTCCTCTGTTGAGCTGACACACCACTTAAAAGTTACAACTTGGACTACTGGATTTCCTTGCCTGTAACAGGCGGTTGTAAGTATAGGAGAAATGTACACAAAGATTTATGAATCTTGGCCCTCACTGAATACATCATGATACTGACAAGAATACTCATATGAACATGGGGGCATGGGGAAGGGACAGATGAGTTCATACAGAATCTTAATTGACAAATACCTCCATTTTTAGCCCAAGAGAATTTTGTATCCATTTTCATCCTGCTTGGTACATAGTCATTACAAGTTTATTTTAGATAATTGCATGAAACTCACTGCAAACCGTATTTGATTTTGAGAAAATTACAAGTGCATCTTTAGGATAATATGATTAATGCAAGACTAGTAGCAGTTTCAAATGTGCACTTTGAAAGTCATTTATGTAGAGCTCTGGCAACTGACCTGAAATAGTACTTATTCAATAAAGATATGCCTAGTTAACCTTAGGAACACACAATGAATATCTACTTAGCCAGAAGGAATATACGGCTTTGTATAAACAGGACTATCTCACCTTCATAAACTGATGCCATTTCAATAAGAAAACTGTTATCACAGAGAAAACTTGAATGTATGACACATCTGCAACATTTCAGTATGACAGAATGTGACCCAAAGAAAATATTTACACACAAGCAAGAATGAGCACACATGCAAGAGACTGCTCACATATAGTGGATTCTTTTTTAAAACATTCCAAACAACTTCCAAATATGAATTTTTATTTAAGGATAAAAGAAAAAAAAGTCAATACCTTGGCAAGGGCGTGAATTCACTGATGATACCTTCTGCTCCTAGGGTTATGCCCTGAACAATAAAAGTGCTTCCCATTCCTTTCCAAAGAGCTCTGGGCCCCTGAAATTTAAAGTTTGAATGAAATAGTTGTGCAAATCTAGTCCAGTATTTGACAAAGTATTATTCTATATTAGCTTCTGCGCATTGTTGTATTGTCTACCATTATTTTTATATTGGTAAATCACATGAAACACATCATACTTAAACTAATGCATGACCAGTAGACTTTTTCTTCTCTTCTTTAAACACTTCTGAACTATATGCATATGCAACAGAGAAATGTCTGTAGCTTGACACAAAATACTGACCTGTGTCTTGTTGATGCTATACATAATATTGATGATTGTAAATGGAGTGAGATGATAATTCTTGGCATGGTAATTAACCTGTGAAAGTAAATAGACTGTAAACATAGGAAGCTGTACATCCATACAGGATTATTTATTTATGGCCTTATTGTCTTCCACATCAGCCCAATGGCTGAGTGGATTTAATTGACAATTCAGTGGTCAAAATTTTCTTGATTGCTTTATTAAAATCATATTGGATCACTCATGTACAATTTATATTAAAGTGCTATCCAAATATCACATTTGAATAACAACCTGGGCATCAAATAAAGCTCAGCATTTTAGGTGACATTAAATTTAATATAAATAGCACAGTCCTATGTATGTTTATTTAGATATATGTTTCATTATGTTCAATGGTGCTTTCACTCAGGAAGTATGCTTAATACTGTAGCCCCAAGGAGCTAAACAAAACAGGAAGTTACACTTTTTACCTGGCACTGCCGCCGCAGAACAATGCATGGATGAGCCAGCACATTCTCTGTAAACAAACTTTTGAAAAACAATTATTTTAAATACATGCATTTTTTGGCTTTAGTAAGCCTCATAGCTTGGCTAAGTTTTAGATTTTCTATTAGAATGCTGTAACGTAAGGTGGTCATTTTCCAAATGAACTTCTAAAATGTAGAGAACTAAGAAGTAAAATTTCACTGTACTTATCAAAACAACCCAGTTCTCTTCATGTTAACTTGCAACATTTTATTACCAATATTTATGAAATATTTCAGTGCCTGAGCGACTGAAACAATTTACAATAAAATTGATAGAAAAATCAAGTATTATACTAAAATAAGAGACATTAAACAGCACAAAATTTAATTTGAAATAGTTCATTAATGAATACAGGAATGAACAATTTAAGATGTCTAAATAAAATGAGAGGGAAGCTTAAATCATAAGGTAGCAGCATACTCAACAGCAGTAATGTGAACAGGAAAACAGAACAGCATGACTATACCATTCTACTTAACACCAAGCAGAAGCTAAGGGGTGTTCAGGTGGGCTTCCTTTATCTACAAATCCTACAAGTCCTCTCTCCTGATCCTTGCATATTTGGGAAAGATCCAGAAAACAAAGCAGGTAGCTTCAGATCTTAGGGACCAGAGATGATCATTAAGAGATGTTTCTAAGGTTATTTAGGGCTTTAGTCACCAAGATCTTTCATTAGGTCTAGAAACAAATAGCCAATGTAGCTGAGCTAGTCTCAGTGTTATCTGTCCTTGATGACTAATTATCTAAAGATGAACTGCAAAAATCTATATACTAGATTAAGCTTCCAAGGATATCTTCTGGTAAAATGTATTGCAGTAATCTTAGTGGGAGGTTATCAGTGCTTGAATGATGGTCAAATTGCTACCTGAGAGGAAAGATAAGCCATTTCATCAAATGAGGCTAAAAAAGGCATTCCTTACCATTTCTATCACCCAAGCATCAAGAAGGAATACAAGCATCCCTATACACTTGCTCTTTGGGGGGAAATGTGAACTTAGCTAGCATCTTCTTGGACCCTCCTTCCCACAAAATTGCAAAGTGGAAGAGAAATGCTCCAATATGGAGGCCATGTCTGCCTAAGTAAGTACATAGTATACATACAGATCCAGTGCCGTGTGGTGGTTAATGTTGGACAGGGGGTCTGGGTTCTAGTGGGTACTGCCACTGGGTGACTCTGGGGCAGGTCATTTACACTCAGCCTAACCTACCTCACAGGGCTGTTGTTCTGAGGACAAAAGAGAGCTAAGTAAACTGCCTCGTGTTCCTTACAACAAGAAAAAGATGGGATATAAATGCATTGTAGTAGTAAGAATATAATACTAATTCTGATTTGGTGCTCCAACCCAGCTGTAAAGTGGGGCTGTGGAGCCATTTAAAATGGAGAATATTTATCAAGCATTCTTCCGATAGGGTGCCCAGCAGGAAGAAAAATACTTTGTAAGGGAAGGCTCAGGGAGAAAGAAAGAGTTCCTTTCTTTCTTATTCTGTCTGTCTGTCTGTCTTTCTTATTCATTACTCCCCAGACCAGTCCTTCTAATACTAGCTTCTAGTTAGCCAAAGAGCAGAGCAAAGATAAATATAAAAGGCCTAGAGAAGATTTCAATTATGTGACATGTCCATTTTCCACACTAGCTATGCAAATGATTAGATGAAATCCAATGTCACGCAGAGGGACTTCTGCTTATATTTTTAGCGTTTTCCTGGTTCTTCACCTTCCTGCAACCCCTGTGTACCTTCTAATCTGCTGTGGAGGGATCCCCCAATCTTCTGGGGCAGATTTGGGGGACACATGAGCAGTGGTGCAGAGTGGAGGGGGAACTGTACTGTCAGTGGGTTCCACTTTCACTGGCAGACAGTTTAGGTTGGATACAACCCATTATATACAGAAAAATAAATGATGTGGCAGCTAATATCTAAGATTAGCCATCTTACATTATTGTCCGCCACCAGGGCTTCATCAGTCCTCACACCACTGGGAAGAACTCCCAGCTGTGTACTATTCACCTATGCAGGTGAGATGCCCTGCCCATTAGGGATCAAAACATCTTGTGCTATTGGCCTTGGTTGCTAGGTAGCATACTTCTGCTAGGAGGGGTCACCATGGAACCTTTGAAGAGCAGCAGTTAAAACAGCCACAGGAGCAATGGCCAATAGCGAGGCCCACCCTCACAGAAAGGTCTGTATGTAGACACACAGCTTAGATAGTGCAGCTCCTCTCAAGAGTGGCCTAGAGCTGTGATACCTGTTGCCTGTACAACACTGCCTTCTGTGTTTCCTGCCCAACTTAGCCCAAATCTCCACACAAGAAACATTCCAGAGACTGTTCTATTGTATAAATGTGCAAAGATGCCACTAAATACATACACTGTATCATATCTTTCTAACTGCTTCAAATGAAGTACACTTGTTCCTATTTGTACACAGACACTTTCCAAAATTCTGGCACTAACTAAAGCTATATCACCACAAGTGTATGGTTAGTTAATGAGAAAACTGGCAGCAGACGACTTACATGGATTGAGAATGTTAAAGTGCCTGTGTGCAGCAAAAAGGTCATTTTTCTCTTGTCACCAATACCTCAGCACAAGTGTGGGTTTTTCCATGTTGTGAAGGTTCTATTAAAGCCCAAGATGGTTCACCTTCCAGGGATTTCCAAATTGTCAGCTGTGATGCTTTGCTAGTGTCTTTGCTAATAATGTTGCTCATACTCAGTTAATATAATAAAAACAATGAAAGATTAAGTATTGAAATATAACTATCAAGAGCAGTTAAATATAGTAGGCAACTTCCATCAACGTAACAAACCCATAGTATAAAGAGAACAGCTTCCCCTGACAACTGTAAGGCATGGGGAAGGCTTTTATAGGAACAGGTGCTCCTACAGATATTTGGTTCCTAAGCCATATAGGGCTTTAACTATAAGCATCAGCACTTTGAACTGGGACATGAACAGGGAGTCAGGGTGGCTGCTTTAGAATTGGTATAATATGATTCTACTTGGCTGAACCAGTTACAATTCTGGACTGACTGAAGTTTCTGAGCTGTCTTCAAGGAGAGCCTGACATACACTGCATTGCATTTATTCTCAGCATGAACCATTGTGGTCAAAGTTCTGGTGTACTGGGACAAAACTGAACATGCAGAACTTTAAAAAAAAGCTGTGGTTTATGAAATGCTAGTAAAATAAACATGCTAAATTAGATCTGGAGATGGGTGAGCAATTAGTTTTAGCCTCCAACCATCTCTAGCAAACATAGCCAATGGTAACAGATGATGGGAGATGTAGATCATTTCTTTTTACATCAGTTTTTGGTGAATAGTTTTCTATAGCTGATTGCTGGACTTTGTTGATTTTGCTGCCTTTTTATATGATTTACTTATTACTGGTTTGTAAACTATTGTAAACAATTGGAAGGAAAGCAAGCAAACACTTTAATAGAGAAAGAAATGCATGACTATTGTTCTGTGTAAGGCTTTATTATGGCATTGAGCCCTTTAACTGTATATACTTACTCAATGGGCAAACACATTTTGGAAAAAATGCTTTTGCAATTTTAAAATAAAGTTAGCAATGATAGAATAGAGATCTTACCTTGCGAGGCCAATTCCAAAGCCTGCAAACCGATTCAACTGTTCTGAAAGACACAGAGGGATGGATAAACTACCACTATTTCCTTCCAAAGAATGAACAAACAAACAAACAAACAAACAGCAAGTACCAGAACAAAAGAAAACTTATTAACTGGAAGTTAACTTGATAACTAACTTAATAAATTATACGACAAAATATAGATAGCTGTAACCTACTGCTGAATACGCATTAACTGGGTAAATGAACAAATACAAGAGCATAAATTAAACACAAATAATAAACCAGGATCGAATTTACTTATTTATCTTAGGATGCAAACCTCATGTATCTTAGGATGTTATTATCCTTGATGCTTGTAAGCCTTGAACCTGGAGGCTTGTGTGCATGCAAGTGAAGGTGCTAAGGGTGCCAGCCATGTTTACCACCCCATGCTTCACATCCTGTATTTCCTTTAGACAGATGTTTTCAGCCATCAAGATGAAATACCATGGAGGGGTAGGACAGGTGGCTGGGGGACCATCTGGATATGGAATAAGCTGTTTGCCCCAGCCTCTTCTCTCCCCTAGCACTGCCCTTTGGCTCTCTGGAAGTCTGATTTCTGATCTTGGACATGGATACAGTGCAGCTATTTCCACACTGGCTGTGAGCAAAACAGGGCAGGGGCTCCACATTCAGAATTCCAGCTCTGAGGTCAGAAGATTTGAAGCTGAGACTCTGAATAACTATATGGCTCTCTATATTCACCATGGCTGGTGGTGAAAGGTTTTTGTGATCCTGAGGAAATCATTATGCCAGCTTCTGGGTTTTCTTACAGGGAGACACTTTATTGTTGCATCAAATGACACTAACTAGATTCCCAAAGCATTCAGCAGCAAGTCACTTACATAGCAACCCCTGCAAGGTGCCCTCCCATCAGCTGGAATGGACAAGGTCAGCACAGCCTCCACAAAACAATCCAAACAAGAGCACATAGGAAATGGCTAGCATATATAGATTATAACTGTACAGCAAAGCATACAGCAATCGTGCATCAAAGTATGGGGAGCATGGGAGACATAATTGACAGAATGGCCAGCATATACCCTAGGTACCCAGGAGTCAATACGTATTTAGGTGCAGGGAGTAAGAAAGATGCAATAGGTGAGGAGGGTCCCTGTGTGGCCTGTCAAGGGCCCTAAATAGGAGTCTCATCTTTGCTGAGGGTGCCAAGACAATAGGATGTAGCCTGAGTTGGCTAGCCATCAAAACATAAACTCATCAGCTGCCTCCTACACGAGGGCCGACGCGTATTCACAGGAGTCTAGTCAAGGCAGTGGGCACAACTGCATGTGTGTCCTGTATTCACCATCAAGTCAGAAGAGTGACTCCCTATTGTAAAGGTACTCAGGGCTGAGAAAAAGTAACTAAGGTGCTACATTTAAATAAACAGACAAGATAACTGGAGTCCATCCAAGCCAATCAAGGCCTACATTTTGGGGAGTCAGATATGGTCTAGGTCAGGGTTTGGGGTACAGACCTGCCACACATCCGAAACTATGTTGAGAGGCCATAGAACTGTACCCTTAAGCAATCTAAGACTTTTAGTTTGAGTCTATAACTAAAGTGGAGCAAACAGTGCCAATTGGAATTGCCATGGCAGCATAGAAACAATGCTGTCTTACAGGCCCACATCTAAAACAATCATACTATAGTAACACACAGCAAAAAAGTAGTAGGGCAAACAGAAACTAAAGCAGCTTAAAGGAGCATTAAATGTTTTTAATAGTCTGGGGAAATAGAAATGTCTCTGCCTGGTTCTAGAATGGACATGCAATATATACTAGTCAAATCTATCTAGATAAGAAACTTCAGAGATGGGGCCTAGTACTAAAAAGACTCTTCTCTGCCTTTCTCTTTAATTTAAAAGGAAGGGGCACCCAGAGGAGAGCCTCAGGTGGAGATTTCTGTGCACACAAAGGTTTGCAACCTCCAAGAAAAACTCTCCTGTGCTTTACAACTATCACTTGACCATTTGTCTTTGCAATGCTGCTGGAAGATAGGTAGGGGTGTGTCTGCATGTGTGTGTGACACAGAGAAAAAAAGAGAGAGGGAGTGTGTAAAAGCAGTAGAAATAGTTTCTTTGTTCCTTCACTTTCCTAGCTCTGCTTATTTGTATTTATTTGTTGCCTTTATAGTATATTATGCCTGCCCATAAAAATCTAAGGCAGCTAACAGCAATATAATTCACCATTAAAAGAAAATTCACAAATAAAACAATATTGAGGGCAGCCGCTCTATGTTACAGCTATTTCTACTACCTCTCGCCATTCTAGCTAGCATAACATGGAGGAGAGGATGGCTTCCAGTGGGACATGCAGGTGATTCAGAGACACTGAGGCAGCTCCTAACCCTGCTGGGTTGGTCAGACAGAATGCATGCACATTAGCAGTTTTGGTCACTGTTAGCCTTGTCTTTTTCTTACCAGCACAATGGGAGAAGATTGGACCAAGAAGCACGCCCCCATCCCCAGCAGTTCCCCAGTGAACACAGAACCAGTGCTAGGGCACTCACATTCTTAAGTCAATTTTTAAATCTATGGAGGTACAGTATATTAAAATAGCTCTAATGCCACAGACCAAAAAATATTGCTGTAGATAGTCAAGTCTTTCCTAACTTCTTGACCTTCAGTTTAGGCTGCCTAACCACCAACAGAACAAGCATGTGCAAATCAAGAGAGCAGATTATTTTGGAAATAGTAGCCTTCAGAAATTAGCTACTAGACAACATCCCCAAGCCATTAGTTACCTTAGTCACCAATAAGAGAAGAAAATACTTATCCTAAAACTTAATTATTTAAGATGAATGCCTATATGTGAATTTAAAAAAGGGTTAAAAATCCCTTTAACTATCTCAACTGCAGCTAGTGTCATGTTTATTAAGAGTTTTCTGGGATCCAGGCTCCCCATCACGGTCAATGTCACACCCCGCCAAATCAGAGAACCCACTATCGAAGGAGAGGGATTCCAGACCAAATTTCCCGAAAATAACAGTGTGTGCACTCTGATTCTGCAACATGCCAGCAACAATAGGAACAGCCAGAAGAGTACGAACGCGCAAAAGGAGCGTGCATCTTCGCAAGTGCACCATTTAAATTAGGGACCCTTAGCAAGGCATGACAGACAGGTGCTGCGGCATCCTCTGCCTCCCCACACCCCCCAGCAGTTCTCCTACTCCTGGCACTGCCTCCTGCCTTACGGCAGAAGACCGGCCTACTTAGCCTACACTCGCCGCTCCCTCCCCGTTAAACGTACCGGAGCTGCCGCCAGCGCCTCCAGGATACAGGTCCTCGTTAAGCCCAACCGCTGCCCCCAGCGGGGTTCCTGCGGTGAACTGAGGCGTCTTCTCGCCCCAGTGGAGGTTACGGCTGCCGGGGATGTCAGGCGGGGTACTGACCCAGTGGCCAAAGTCTGGCTTAGCCGCGAAGCCCCCCGGTTCCTCTCGGCCGCCCCGGTAGCCCAGGCCGTCGAAGCCTTCGGGGCGCCGCGGATGCATTGGAGACCACAGAACAGCGAGAAACGTTGACAAGTGACAACAGGGAGGACCCCAGCGCAACGTCCCCCACACTTCACTTCCAGCGCCAACCGGAAGCAAAGCCTCACCATCGTGAAGCAGAGCATCCGTGCACGTGACACAGGCCAAGTGCGACAGGGCGGGACAGAGCTCGTTCTGTCAGTCTGCGGTCTCGTAACATAGATATAAGAAAAGGGAAGCGGCATGACTTGTCTCTATGGGCTATTTCTTCGTTCTCATTGGAGAAATTCTGTTGAAATGGGGGGCGGGGCTTGATAGCCCATAGAAATTATGGAGAAATTCAGAATGTTAGCGCGGGTCTAATTAGGCATAGCACCGGTAGGTCTTTCCTGAACAGAGGTTACCAGCAAATGCAGGAGCTCTACTATTTCTGGCTCGTATTTCATTTTGTATGCAGCTTGTATTTTTCTATGAATCTCTAAACGTTCTAAATATAAATATACCTATGCAAATACATTCCATCACCCTGAACTGTAGGGCGTTTTGCACGAATACTCCCTTCCTTCCTAAAAAGCAGGTGCGATGGGGGCGGGAATGAAATCATGAGATTAGGGGGGTTTAGAGGTAATCCTACCCCCGCGCTGAAATTTGTTGCCCTCCCTTGTTGTAGGTTTCGCGAGAAGCTGAATGCAGTTTGCAAGTAATTTGCGGTATTGTACAATATGATTATGCCCTTACTGCGGATTGAGTGTCGCGTGGAGGCTGAGAGAGGAGGCATACAACACCGCGTTTGTTCTTCTGATTTCCTTAGTTTATCCCAGCTAGGGTTTTTGAATTTATTTAACCCGACTTGAAGTAGTTTGAACTTTCAGATGGTCTTCCACTTAACATACGGCCAAGTTTAGATATTTTTAGTTTCCGTGATATATGGCGATCATAAGGCACGTTTAGAGGGTCTTCACGGCGAGCTCAGCGTTCACACATTTCTATTGATACGGGGTTGTCATGCAACCCCATCATTTTAGTGATCCTCTGCGGATCATCACAGTGCGAGGATCATTATTCCAGATTAGATCATATCAACAGGTACCCTGGCAATCTGTCCATCTTTAAGAGAGATGAAGGACAGAGGTATGGCAAAATATGACTTTCTCTCTGTATACAATACTGTACATATTACACGCACACAAATAGGAGAGAGGGTCCTCTCGGTGTGGTGTAGTAATTAGAGCTGTTCTACGATTCCCATTTTTAGTTCACTGGGCGGCTTTGGACCAATCGCCATCTCTTAGCTGAACCTACCGCACAGGGTGGGTTGTGATGACAAAATGCGGAGTTAGTTAAGGTTATAAACCCATGTGCTCTATCTTCGAGGAAAGGCAGGATACATAATTAAAACATTGTAAAGGCCCTTCCCCGTATTCCCCGACCTTATCTGCCGGCACTGTGTCTACCCCAAAATAAATGAACAGGAGCCGACGAGAGGGCGCTGGAGGAAAGCGCTCTCTTCCCCGCTTTCTATTCCGTCCCCCCGCCCCCGCCCCCGCCCCCCGTAATGGATTCCGGGCCTGGTTTGCGTCCATGGCAACCATCCCAGCAGCGCTTAACAACATTAAGGGAAGGTAGCAGAGCCGGCCTGCGTGTCGGACAGCCGGCTGATCTTAGCCCGATCCAGTATCCAGGGTAAGTGTGGGAAGGTGGATGAATCCTTTAGTTCAAGCAGGGGAGGAGCAAGGGCCCGAGCAGGTCTCCAGTCGAGTTAGACGGAAGCCATTCCCGCCGGTGTGCCCGGCTTCCCATTCGTTAGTGGGTGCATCGACTGCGGTCCATGGCGACCTTAGGAATTAATGCCCTCCAAAATGCCCTGTTCTTGGCAGTCCTGCTTAGCTCTTGTAAACTCAAGGCTGCGACTTTCTTTATGGAATCGAGCCATCTCATCGTTGGTCTTCTCTTTCCTACCTTCCCCAGCATTGTTGCCTTCTCCACTGACCCATTCGTTTACTGGTTTTGATAAACGGTGTCTGTAACCCTCCTTAATGGCGGCTTAATGGACTTGAGCTTTACCTAAGTGTTGGAATCTTAGGTATAAGGACCTCTGCTTTGTAAGCAGCAGAACAAACTTGGGCATGAGGGAAGCAACTAATATGGTGGGTGGCAGTAGCTGTCAACTTTGTCAGGTCTGGGAACCACCCGTTTCTTAACTTTCCCCCATACATTTATATGATCCCAATGCTGGTTTTGCGACCCACATTTGATCAGTCTATGATTCGGAAGTGCATCCTTAGCCATCAAATGAAGACCAGTGGTCAGGCTAGTGAGCTACTGCAGACATCCAAAAATGAATGTAGATATAATTACCATAGTGGTACAAGTACAGCAATATGTACACACACTTTTAGGTACTGTGACATCTCCTTCCTTTTAATCACATGCTTTTAGCAGAGCTCCTCCAATCAAATTAACATTTCATACAGAGCTAGATTGAAGTAATTTATCTCACTAAAATCTGGAACTTCATCTTTCAGGTACTTAAAAAATCAAAATATACTTTACTGCCTACTATACTCCCTGGAAAGTGAATCCTTGGAGGTGACACCACAATGCATCACTCCCATGTAAACCAGGGGTGGGCAGAAGGTAGATCTTCTGACATTTTGGATTTTAACTCCCAGAACCCTCTGCCAACATGGCCAGTGGCCAGGAATGCTTGGAGTTGAGTTCCAGAACAGCCAGAGATCAATGTTTTGCTCACTCTTGCTTTGTTGTTTTTTATGGTATTGATATCTTTTGTACATAAGTAGGAATGCAGCATTGGGGACAAACTATAAATGGAATCTCTTAAGTGCTTTCCCCACCCCTGCTACCTGTCCTTACTGATGAACTTCCTGACACTTGCCTTATATGCAAGCAACTAGTTGACAGAAAAGTTGGCAGCAGAGGCTTAACTATAAATGTACAGTAGATGGAGCACTTTGCAAAGCATACAGAGTCTTCTGTAGAGTTACTGAAAATATTGTGATGGATGTACTATACCATTACAGTCCTATAGGGCTATCGGACTTTCATTTAAGTGGCATTTCACTATATAATTTATTTTTTAAAGATATAGTCAGAATGATGTATTAGAGTTACATTAATTATATTTTTTTAAAGGAGTAATGAAAATGACACCCAGCACAAAATTATACGAAATGTGTGCTGAGCTATGATAGTTCCACTTGCCCAATAAGTCACTGCTTATGTCAGATCATTCTGCTTTAAAATGATGGAGGAGTAGTGCTAAGGTCATCTACCTCTGTGACTCAAAGGAAGAGCCCATGCTTTAAATGCAGACAGTCTTGGGTTCGGGGGCTAGAAAATTTCAGCCTGAAAACCTGCTAATTATCAGTGTCAACAACACTGCATTAGGTAGATCAACAATCTCATTTGGTATAAGGCTTCTTATGTTCCTTCATTGACATTGAGCCACTCCTCCTCCCTCCTAAAATCCAGACTTTGTTTGGTAACAGAAAAGAGGGAAGCGGCACTGAGAGAACACAAAGAGATTACAAATGGATGGTGATATTACTTACCATGGTTCACATGTAGTGGTAACCCAGACTGTTGATTTATATTCCTGCTTGACACCTCCTGCCACTGAAAGTGGTCAAGTCTGAATCTGTGTGTGTGTGTCCAGAGCTAGAACCCAGGAGAGTGTTAGGCAGCTTATAGCTGCTGCTGCAAGATAAGCCTGGAGTCTGAGACCAACTGATGTATGGATGGATGTATATATGTAGGAAGTATGAAGGGGATGCAGTTACTCCCCTCCCTACCCTGCACCCAGGATAAACCATAATTTCTAGATTCCATCTTTCATTAAGGAAAGCAAACATTCTCCATCCTATGTTGAAACTGAGATACGAGGCAACTGATGTGCAGTTAGAATTATGCCATTTGTTTTATGAGAAGCTAGGCTGCTCCCTCCTTTCAGTGTTGTTACTAATGTTATAAGCCTTTCTTGCATCTTCCCTGTTAAGAAGTAATTGCAGGCTTATACAAAAACAGTTTAGAAAATCAGGAGTTTCCTATAGCTGAGTTTGGACTGAGTTTTAGTAGACTATGTTTACTAAAAAAGCAAAGCAGCAAATATAGTTCCTATCTTTCTTACTCAGGTCTTGTTAATCATTTTTCCAGAGTTTATAAACACTAAGAAGCTCCCTGACAATGCTTATGTATTAAATTGATCATTATTATATCCATATAGTAGGAGTGAGGGCTAGGGCTGAGACAGTGTGGGTTTCAGAAGTACTGCAAAGTAGCCTGGCATTGTTATTCCTCCCTCTCCCTCTCCCTCTCCCTCTCTCTGTGTGTGTGTGTGTGGGGGGGGGGGGGGCGGTGTTAGAGTAGTGTGAGAGTACTCTGCAGTGTAGTCCAATGATGTTATTCAGTCACCTGGAGGGTTGGTTTTTCAAAGGAATGTTGATGGGGCTGTGAAGTTTGTTGGAGCAGCCATGCAATCTGTTAAGGACTAAAAGGGCTTGTTTTCATTAAGAGAACCTGTCATTTTTAGTGCATGCCTTGGAGCTAAGACAACATACCACCAGCTCCTTAGAGGTAAGTATTTTCTCATGGTCAGTAGTAATGAATGACCTTGTTGTGAAGGTATGAGAATCTATCGTTCATTGCCTATAAAGCAGTCTAGCAGTGGGCTGCTAGCTGAAAAGGTCACACTCCTCAATTTTAAACATGCCAGTACCCCTGCAATGGCCAGCAACCCAAGGGTCATTAAAGTATGAAAGGAATCAGGAAGAATTAAAGGCGCCAGCTTCAGGTGGAAAGACATTGTGCAATTACTAGTTCTACCCAATGGGGGGGGGAAGAGGAGGAGACCCAGGTCCTGTCTACCCAGGAGTAGACCTATGAGAGACATTTATTGTGTGCTCATAATTCCCTACTGCTTATTTAGATGTCATTTTACCCTCCAGTTTCCTTTCTGTGTCTAACCATGACTTTGGCAAGTTTTATTGGAGAAAGGAAAGTGTGGCATATTATTATGAATGTGAAGAAAGCACATATTCCGCTTGTGCATTTGTGTACCACAGTGCCATCTAGAGTTTAAATAGCAGAAAAGCAGAAAAGGAAAC